TATATATATATATATATATATATACGAGAGATTAACCGGGCTGCACAGTTCGCAAGTGAATATGTGCGGCGAAAGTGCCACAGGTACTGATGAATACTCTTATTATGTGTCAATCCTTACAGGCCACTCGTTGAACAAGTCCTCCTAATGATCAAATACACAAAACATCCCAAAAACAGGTATACCTTGATCGCACAGATCATTGTAAACCCAAAATACGACACAAAGGCCAAAGTACTCCTGAACGGCTAAAAAAAATGAACTATACGACTCCACTAACCTGGTAATTCTCCAAAATGTAATGCGTATCCAAAAGTTCGGCGTCTTCACTCAGCACACCGGTTTTACCGGTGCTGGCACTCTGTTGATGATGCTGATAGAGGCTTTGGACACTGAACATTCTTTCGCGCATCCCTTCACGTAGCGCACGAACCCAAGTCTGTAAGCAAAGCAGAAAATGAATTCAAGGTCAGGATAACGAACATGAAAAGTGGTACAATGAACCACGGATGAATAAACAAACTTTAACAATCAACTGACCGCACTGTGAAAGGGGAAAAGTGTCTCACTGCAAAAATTGCTGCTTACATGTCAGTGATTTGTTGTCTTGAGAGCACTCGCCTTTTGACGAACAACAGAAAAGCGGTTATCTGGTGAATGAACAAGTTAATTGGTCATCCGGCCCGACCAAACAAAACTTTCAATGATTAGCTCAGATAGTCTGTCGGTCGTTTTTGATTGTGTGAAACCTTAGAGAAGAACGTAATGTCGGAAGTGAAAAATTTCGCTCACATTAAACGCCACAATCCTCCAACCTATCCGAACTGATTTGGATCAATGTAGAGTTATTTTCCTCTAGTTCAATTTAGTCTGACGTTGGGTGTATACGTCCACGTTAATGTCTACAACCTTACTAATAGACCGATCTGGCAATCATCTAAGGGAAATTTCCTCCAGATCGGACGACTAATTATAGATAAGACCAGATGAAAATTTTTCCAGTGTCCCAATCATTGTGAATGCACACGTGAAACAAGAAACGGTGGACAGAGTTGTGGTTGGAAGGTGGTCGCTTATCGCCACAAGGCATGAAATATACGCGAAATATATGTATATTTAGCTACAGCAAGATAGAATACAGAATACAGAATTTTAGAATGGAAATTGACAGAATTTAACATCCGAAGCCCTCTGTTTTGATTAGTTACTGGTGTCGAGCGTTTTAGGGGGCGATGTTCCTGCAGCCGTTGTTTAGACATAGGTCTAGAAACCTACCTTTCCAAGTGACACCCAGTGTGTCTCAACAGGATGTTTGATTGAGTTGAGAATGACTTTTGACAACTGGCGTCGGATTACTGCGGTGAATGAAATGTTTAGCTCCGTCCAGTAGGATGGAGGTCTAGCCTAGCCCGTCTGGTGATAATCCTCAAAAGAAGCCCTCACAGGCTGTAGCTGTTCATCATGTTTGCTCACCAGCTAGAGGACGTTTCTGTTGTTACGAGTTTACTACTAGCTACAAAGAATCACAGATAAAAGTTTCAGTTGAGGGCACAAGCAAACCCGAACGCTACTGCATTGGGGCAGGCGCTGGAATTCTTTTGACAAACCTCAATGGTCCAGTTCAAGCCATTACAGGATACAGGAATTAGCCTTTCCAAGGGAGGATCTGATGCATCTTCAGGTCCTTGACCCCCAGATATTACTGAACTAAAATGAAGGAGCCTGGCACTAGCAATGAGCTGATCCAGAGACGGGTAGATCGTGGGGGCTCGAGTACCTCATCTGTGGCACCCAGTGTTAAAAAGTGTGGTGGGTTTATCATGCGCTATGCACGCTAGGCCGTGATCTACCTTAGTTTTTCCGTGCCAAACACATGAACAGGACAGAAGAGTGTCAAGTAGACAAGGGAGAAAGAGTGCTGTTGACAGTGTATCTGTATTTTACGTTTTGGCCCACGCGATTCTCCCGCATTTCGACTAGAGATGTTGGAAGATATGGCCGCTGACTGATGCCAATGACTGTGAACTTCTACCCAGTTTGTTTGGGTAAATGTTTAGAGGTGTGTATTTCTCGGTCGTTCGTCGGGATATATTTCAGTCATTCTTTTGTCTCCCTCTTGCCATAGGGCTTTGTCCAAACAGTGACGCGGTCGTAAGTTAGTTATAATATTGTTAATGATGATGATGATACCGGCCCGTGCACCGAAGAATAATGATAGGAGAGCCACGACTTCAAAAATATGAACCCGGAGTGAACAAAAAATGGGTGGGGGACAACGAGTGTTGGAGACGATAGTTGTGCTAGACGAGTGTCGTGGCTGCGTGTTTGCAAGCCCTGATATGGTAGTCGGCGAAAAAAATCCAATTTGATGCTCTCATTTATTGTTGATAGTGTGAGGAGAGTTTAAAATTTCCTATTTCCTATTTCGTCTTCAAAGTGTAGCCGATTTATGCTGTCCTTCTAGGCTTTTCAGCAGACTGGTAACACTTGGAGGTGGACAATGACTCGGTAATTCATTAGCAGCGGGCGGCTGGGAGAGAAAAAACTAAGGTGAGCGAACGGCACACTGGCGTTCAAGGTAGGTGTTCTAATACATGGACTGTTCGCGTTTTGCACAAGTCGCTCAGAAGGTGCGTGGCGCAGTATTGAAATGATACCCACCAGATTCCAGCTTCAGGGCTATTTGGAGTAGAAAAACAGAGGCTTTTGATAGAATGCTGTATGCACTGCCCACGTTCCAGAACAGCCTACGGTGCACTGAAGCTTCATGGGCCTTGTCGGGGCTCAAAATCAACGATTAAGTGTAGAACTCGGATTTCGAAGACAGGCGATGTACCTTGTCCCCGGTTGCAACCTGTCATTTGTTGTCATTTTCAGGAGCGATGTTTTTTCATGTTTTCCCACCGCTTATGCCAGTTAAGGACAACACAAGGACAGGACAGATAAGGAGACTGTTCTCCAAAAGCATGGTCATTCTCAAACATAAACTGTGTTGAAACGGACACGAATCTGATTAGCTATCAAAGTATCGGCTGTGATGACAGTTGGAGGCAGAAGACAACGACAGAAGGGTCGATCGATTATCGTCTCACACAAACAGGACGGAAACCAGACAGAAGCAGCAGGAAAGAAACTAACCTGCTTCAAATCCAGACTGGAGGCTTTCAGAACCATGCGATACTCGTGAATTGGTGGTACGCGCCCGGTCCACAGGGCGAACTTGCACTGGTCCCCTTCAATGTGTTCAGTGATATTGCATTCGGCCAGCAGTAGGCGGGACTTGTAATGATATCTGAAAAAAAAGATGGACAGGGGTGGTGAAGGTAACAGTAGGAAAATAACCGTTCGTGACAAGCACTCTGTTGTGCAAAGAACAAGCCTTTTAGTCGACCGTAAATTACGACCAGACACATTGCAAAGCATACATAAGAAACATTATTCAAATTGTGGCGCCGTCGCGCCACAAGAATGCCACGTAGAGGGCGGAAAGGAATGGGAATGAGAAACTATCAAATTACCCCGGTAGAGACAAAGTTCCAAATGAATACAGCTGTGTTGTTGTGGTAAACGGATACGTCTGCCTGGGACGGCTATTTCTTTTGTGGGTCACATTTTACATAAAACGTATTTAGCTACAACGGCTGGGATCGGATATTCACATTTTCGATAAATCTAAACATTGATCACACCGACGTTGGGGCGTTTTGTATTGTGCACGAATGCGCAGGCCGATTTCGATCATTGTTGGGTGCATCAAAAACAACCTCTTTGGAACAATTCCGTTTTTCAGCCGCGCATAGATGGTTCTTACACCTGCCGGATAATTTGTCGCTCATTATGAACAATTGGAACTAACCACACTTCATCGTAGTCTTCGACATCGGGGGCCCAGTAGGACTAACATTGAGTCAAATAAAGCGTTGAACTACCCAAAAGAGTAATCTTAGGGGATACCAAAATGCCTTCTTTCAAGTAGGTAAACGGCAATGTCCGGAGTGCATCCAAAAAAGACGCTTACAGCTTTACCAAAATGCTTCTTTCAAGTAGGTAAACGGCAATGTCCGGAGTGCATCCAAAAAAGACGCTTACAGCTTACAGAAGGATTCGATCACCAATATTCATGGGATAGGCACGACGATGTTCTGCAATCCTATGTGCAACAAAATGCCGCCTCAGGGTTTCAGGAGGTGAGTGAGCTCAGTTGTGGCCGACATGTGCTTCTTGTGTTGTGTATGCTGAGCTCTCTACGGAGCTCAAGCATGGCGTAGAAAACAAACAACCCGTATTTACATACACCGAGCGAAGCAGTACGTTCTTCTCCCACTGCAGTCCCTTGATAACACGCAACAAGATAAAACTATCCAGTTCTGCTGAATGGTTTCATGTTATTTAAACAAAACCCAAGTATTCGCGTGGTTTTCACTCGTAATCCTTTAGTATGTTGGCATGAGATTGATAAGGTTTGATTTTGTGTCAGATGGACTAAATCAGTAGGTTTATCAGCCTAAAAACAAAGATTTAGCCCAATTTGGTGCTTGCTACACTAGAAAATTCCAAGCTCCTTTGTCACACTTTGAGTTTTTGGATTACCAGAGTTATAGCATGACCAGATCGCGAACGATGTTAACCAGAAATTTGTGAATAGTCCATCGCGGCGGAGACAAACATATCGATCGACAAATCAGACAGTTTATTGTGTCATTTATCATAAAAACTGGAGGTTGACAAATTACGATTAGAGCAGACAGATCAGTGTCCTGCGTCTAACTTTGCTCGTTTATGGGTTGGAACCACACAAAAAAATACAAATAACATCGAATCATGAATCAACCGGAAGTTCTCATGCCATATTCGATGTAATTATACATTAGCATGAATCGTTTCGGACTGCTCCTGTGCATAGTTGCAGTGACACAGGTGTATCATAGGAAATGAGAAACCACACTTTAGGGCAAAGGCTACAAACCAGCATCACTAGGCTCACACAATAGCGCCCACTGCTGTCACTTACAGCACGCGACCAAATCTTCGAATCCTTTCACGTATGAGTGAGTCAGTTGGTTAGCTGGAACCACTGGGAACTGTTTAAAGCTGATAAGGGACGGGGTGATGATAATGATAATTTTCACATAGGCTCTTCCTACCGTACTGCTCTCATTGTGATCAACCGAAGACGCTACGATTCGGCTGACATGTGTATGCAGTCTACCACTCTAACATCTCCCACCATAAAGAGGTCTACAAAGCCCATGCGAGGAGCCCAGGTTGTACAAGGTCGTACTAAGCTGTGAGCTTAAAAGAAATTACTGATGTCCTCGTAAACATTCTATGAACACTAATGCCCCAACAGACAACTCGTCGGAGATGGGGATCTTAGTTTCGCCTATATATGTGAATAATAATAATAATAATAATAATAATAATAATAATAATAATCGTTCAGCTGTAGAACCCTTCCGGCGCCTAGCTGCCATGCCACCCGCAGGAAGCATGAGGGTTGGGATACTGCCAGGTAGACCAACCCTAGACAGGGGAAGTCGAGAGGCAGAGGTCGGGTTCGAACCATGGACCCTCCGGTTAGTAGGTTCGCGCTCTAACCATTTCGGCCATGTGAATAGATTAAGTGAAACAAACAACAGACATTGCGGAGAGAGCAAATTATCGCGGTTGGCGAAATAACTTGGAAACTATTTAGCTTCGAGTAAGGCCGAAGAGCCTGCACGGTCACCTTGATGTTCTAGTGTCCTAGTGATTATATCGGAAAGAAGGCAGTAAACAAGCGCGAAAAGACGATTCACTTTATATGTTCAAGCATTTAACCATGTGGCTATGTGTCCGCTAGTCCATAGGATCAAAAACCAATGGACTAACCGGAACAGTTTCGACTAAGATGTTCAAACGATCTTCCAATGGAAGGAGTGATGAAGCGCAAACGGGATTGCTAACGACATCCAGTGAGTTCATGACACAGATAAAAGAAGATATGGACCACAATAAATTCAGCCTCACGCCGTTTATCTCCTGCGGTGTTAGGTAGTCGGCGTTGGGCGGATTCATCAAGTTCAACGGACAACACAGTATGTAAAGCGTTAGCTGGAAAACGAAACGTAAAGCGTCTTGTATACATGATATTTCCAGCGTCGCTGGCATTTGTTCGAGAATGCAGCTACCAACCAACCAAATACGATGTAAAAGTGACAGGAATACGACGAAACGCTGGATGGAAACAACAGTTTAGGTGCTGGAATCGGAGATCGAAGAGTGATACCAGGCAGAAGTGAACCTAGGCTACCACCTTCGGTTCAATCGACGTGCCGGAGTGAGGCGACGCAATGTAATCGGTCTTTTCCCCCTCCGTTGATCACTTACCCCGATGAAGATCACGCAACCCAAGTTCTGACCAAGAAGCAACCCTTTATTCGTGAAAGCTGTCACAGATCGTTTGAATCTTTTGGAGAGTGAGGGGCGGAAACTTAGCAGTAAATTTCTCATAGGGACGCTCGGTTAAAACGTGCGGTGTGGTACGTCGGCTACAAAGGTATGTCGATTCAAGCTGCTGTAGTTCAACGAAAAATGTTTACTGAATGAATCGATCCACACGGGTATGCACGGAAGTTAACCGTTGTTGAAACATTCTGTCATCGTTTTTACGCTGCACAGAAATAGCCCCGACATTAAACCAAGCGGTCAGATGTGTCTTGCTCCAAACCGATTAGTTCATAACTGTTTTTGGAATTTTACTGTTCACTCAAGTTCGTTTTGAAACTGCAACAGTCACTGTCTGATAAAACCTAATAAAAGTTGACCGGATTCGATCGCATTTGAGAGGTAGTCATAACATGCAGCTCCTAGGCGCACAGTTGTCACAGAGGAAGCCGTTAAGCAGGTGGTGCGCTTAGATAGACAAAGTATTGTGCCACATACGCACAAAATCAATGTATTGCACAAAGTTGTTTGGCGGTACGGCTTACGTCATAGTGCAACCATTGGTCTCTCCACACAAGTGCATCTGTGCGTTTAGTCTATGCGACGGGAAATGTAGAGATCCTGCAATACCTTTGCTTGTAAACAATGTGAAACACAAGTAAACAGCGATTTATGATCATGCGGACTGACTTGGCCTTGTGTTCGCCCGGTTGTGTAGACGCCTCTTTGGCCAGTATCAGGCAATTGTCAAATAAAAACACGCGCCGCTCACGGCTCTTTTTGATCAACTGTTTCGGTTCCCACACAGTAAACTGATCCTGAAGAATGACATCCCCCAGAGAATGGATTGGAAGATCGTCTGGTAAGCCCTGAAACGGATTGAAAGTAGACCAGGGGTGGAAACGGTTGAGAGTGGTAGTCAACACACAAGAGGATCAGGTGGACGAATGGCGATTTAGGATCCGCTCGATTCGTTCGACGGACTCGAGACTGTAAAAAATATGACAACCGCACTAAAACGTATGTGAAACTATTGGACCGTGTCAATAAACGTGGGTATCAAGCAGTAAAACAGCGCAAATTCGTTCTTCCAAGGAGAAAAGCACACGATAAAAACGTTGTCCCGTATGAATTTGTATCTATTACGATAAACACAGATCAAGTACAAGTACCAAAAGAAGTGAGCCATGAGAAATAGACTGGGATCCGTTTGGACCCGCAAACCGAATCATTTTCTACCATTCGGCGTAGTCAAAAGGATGCACCTATCGACTGGAAAACACGAACCCCAGTGAAATGCACAAGGTCAATGCAACGAAATTTCCGTAAGAACAAACGCCCGGGTCCCCGTAAGTGCGAATTGGGTGAGTCCAAATCGTAGCGAAATACTCTGCGGCAAAATTCGCCGTTAGACGGACAGATCGAGGATCCCACACAACCGCTGACAGTGATGGTATTCGTTTGTCCGGTGACGGAACAGACTGTCTTCCTTACAAATAAAAAAAATTTGCACTTGACGGAACAACTGTCTTCCTTACAAATAAAAAAAATTTGCACTCTATGCACAAAAAGAAAGATTTAGTATCGCTCAGCACGAGCACCGAATTGCGTGGTGGGATATGGTTGAAACGGTCGTTGGTATCCACATACGCGTGGGATAATGGTGGTCGTGTGGTATATTACTATGGAGAAAGACACTAATGAAGTGAACGCGGACAACCAGTATTCACATACGGATGGCACCTGCTACAGCGAAGATTCCGATTTTTGGCGCAAACTTGTACTGGCTCCCTTACCGTGCCCAGAGGGGGGTGAAACCGAACTGGAAGCCAGATGAGGACCTAGACCGGCACCGTCGAGTCAAATATGGAGCGTTTCGACCTCAACCTGGCACACAGTGTGCATCGTTAAGAATGGAATGGTTCGAGCGCAACTGCGGCACCTCAACTACTCCTGTCTACTTTTGGGTAACCTGGCAGTATCTCATCTCTCGAGCTTTAGTTGGGTGGCTAGGCGGCTAGCTGAACGATTACTACCTCACTTAAAGTGACTGCTGACACATTGACTAAGCGGGCTATGAGGGACCCGGGTGTTACAGATTTCGATGTACCTCAAGACCAATCATAACAGCCAGCGCTACCTCAGGTAGCCAGGTGACTCCGTTAATTTTTTATGGACAAGTGCATGCTTCAGAAAGTAACCGGCGCACCAGAGCGCTTTCAGGGAATACAATGACGGACGTTTTACGATAGCCTGAAGAAAAAAACAGGGAAAAAACACAAACGCGTCACCTGAGAGTGAGAAACACTAGCTTAGCGTTCAGCAGAAGATGAAAGAAAAGCTTATGTTGGATTAGCCTACATGAAATCGGGCACCTATGTGTTAAACCCGATGGCACATGTTCACGTTTGCTATGATCAACTGCTGTTTCCAAATGGAAATACTAACTCATAAGTGACAGTCGCAGTGGTATTCACATCCACTTGACTCCCATCTGTACAATGCTGCCCTATCCTCCAAGACAAGAGAAAACACTGCACTCGCGTTTGTCTCTTGTTAGGGTTCATTATTAATGGTACACAAACTTGGTTGTATACGGATTTGGACTCGTCATCTGACATGTGAGCGTTATCGCTATTCCCAGTGGGGCCAATCAGGCGTTTTTGTGATTGGGCACTTCGTGTGAATATGCCTAACGCGTCCATTGAGGCCGACTTAGTCCAGCGTAGAACGTGACCACAAAAACTGGTTAATTTTAATCCTTTCGATACAAGATCGAATAGAATTCAACGCCATATGAGAAATTAAGCATTCAAGATGACAACTGGGTTATCCAGTTGGTGATTTCGTTAACACCCTTGCTGTATTATGTGCACGACAGGCCTGGAGCATCGAAATCTTTCATCCAGATTGAGAATAAGTTTGCATTGGACTCACGACCGTTGGTGGGCGAAAACCAACTGACAGGAGCTATCTGTAGTGCATTACAAAACGACTGGCTGGTTAGAACTGCCTAAACAATGCTTTTATGGTACTGCGGTGGACACATGGAATTGCATTTGGAAAGGGTGGCGTGAACCGGGCTTTTTGAAAATAGTACACAACCTTGATGAATCAATGGAATCTACATAGGATCTGCGTTCAGGACGTCTATCAACCGTGGAGAGGGCTGAACGGCACAAAAACCTACATGCAACATGCTCAGATGCAGAGCATCGTTTGCTCGCTTGGGTACATCCAGCATGGCCTCTAGTCCTTCGTTGAGTTCAGCCACACTTGCAGGGTCACAGCAATCGCGAAGTTCCCGCAACAACAACTGATATTTCGTAACCCGCTGCACAGGTTTGATGAGGTAAGACGGGAGCGGTTCCGTGAGATTGAAGTAACGCTAAAATAGAAACAATCAAAGTGAACACAGTCACTAAGAGGTACTTTTACAAGAGAAACAATGAATGTGACGCTCAAATCATTGAAAAGGGTTCGGTGGACCTGAAAATCAATAGTCGCAGGACCGAAACTACTATTCGGGAAATCAATAGAAAATCATCAAGCATTGGATCGCATAGAAGACTTTTTCGGTAAATTTCTAGGCTTTTCTCATGCACTTGGTGAATATGCTCTAGTGTACAACTGGAATGAAACAACAGTCAGTGGCACAGAGTCAATTATCGACATCACAACCAGCCTTAAGCACGCTGATGAAAACTGTCCGTTAGAATTAATCCGGCGAAACTCCAACGATGGTGATACAGTGCTTGAGGGTGTTTTATTCTGTCCTTAGAGTGAACAGCGGTCATCATGCATTGAAGACATGCCCCAGGAGCGCCACTGCGTACGTCACTGGAGCAAGTCGCCAACGCCGCTAGCTATCCATATCGTGGAAGCTGGTAAGACACCTGGGTCTAATGGCTTTGATTCGAATGCTGTCCCCGAGGACCGTTTCCATCCCGTAAACAGTTGGAAAAACAGCTCAGTGATCAACAGAGATCAACACGATATGTGGAATGTTGTCAACACGCATGTGATGAGTGAACTATTTCCATCGAAAATTGATTGAAAGTCACAATTATATTGAGACTTCATCCTACCACCCAATCAACCAATCAATGCTGAAAAGCCAATAACTGTACAGCTGTTCCATGCTTATGAGCAACCATCAGCAGTGCACATCTCACGAAGCCCAAGGAAGTCTCCAAGCCGGGACCCACAACCCGCAAGTGGTTGAACACTTAGCCGTCCAGCCACGAGCCGCTGAACAGCAGTGTGATTAGTTCTTACTTAAAAAGTACGTTGTCAAGGGGGAACGTAACTGGAAATCCCTAGTTTATCAGTAGTTGCACATACATAAGAGAAAATAACTCTGTGCCAACAAACTCTGTTCCAATAAACTTGAGCAATGCTTTCGTTTCTTGTGCAAACACACTAAACAGTACCAGTAGACAAAAAGTATCCAGCAAGTGATGGGCTAAAGGCAAAAAAACGCATCGATTTTTGTCCAGTAAGAATGAAACATCTTGTTATCCAGAAGTGCGATAGATCTGACCGGAAGTGATTAAACTCCGTCTCAAGAGGAGCTAGACAATTCGTTAAGCATACGGTCGAAGAAATCACCATACATCCAACATCCACCTTGGACAAGAGTACGAAGTTAGGGACAGTCAGTATCGATCCGAGATGCCGTCTTCCTGGAGACCATTAATAATATCAATACAAACAGTAAATCAGAGGATAATACTGCCATTCACCTCCGAATGCATATGACGGTATGGTAGTCTGAGTAATAAAACGCCGTACCTGGACTACAAACTGCAGGTCCCAAACAAACCATCATACACTAGGTATGAAGTTAGAAAGAGTAGAGCATTATGCAGGTTGTACTCACTAAATGGGTGGAAACAATCAGTGTTTTCTTGACACACTAGTTCAGCGACACGGAGTGTGTAAGACCCGAACGATGATACCGGTATGACGATGCGCATAGAAGTGGAGACAAATGTGAGTACTACTGTGCGTATGTAAATTAGATCATTGGATTTGCATTCGGAAGTATCGATTGCCTCTACTTTCCCCAAATTCGGTCTTCCACTGGTACAGGATTTTACGGAAAATGCTGAAATATGTGTTCCGACACAGGGCTTCCAACAGTTGTTGCAAATCAGTGATATGTTATTGTGTCCATCCACTTGCATCCTATTCGATTTTCACAACACAACTGACAACTCTACACTGGACCGTTTATTTTTTCTGCTACACTCGAAAACAAACATGTAGAAGCGCACCTGGTCACATCGCGGATAAAATGGTTGGGGTTGATTGTAAATAGGCAATATCAATAATCGCTTCATCATCCTTAGGGTTGTTGTCTCTGTTCTAAAAATTCGGATGTATTACCCATAGTGTTCGAATCCTGACGCCATCAGTTACACTGCCGTACAACCGTTTCTTTGGTTTAAAAAAGCTCTAATACGGAAAGAATAACAAAGCGGGGATGGAAAAAAGTACTGTACTGTACTGTATACTGTACTGTACTGTACTGTACTGTACTGTACTGTACTGTACTGTACTGTACTGTACTGTACTGTACTGTACTGTACTGTACTGTACTGTACTGTACTGTATTGTATTGTACTGTACTGTACTGTACTGTACTGTACTGTACTGTACTGTACTGTACTGTACTGTACTGTACTGTACTGTACTGTACTGTACTGTACTGTACTGTACTGTACTGTACTGTACTGTACTGTACTGTACTGTACTGTACTGTACTGTACTGTACTGTACTGTACTGTACTGTACTGTACTGTACTGTACTGTACTGTACTGTACTGTACTGTACTGTACTGTACTGTACTGTACTGTACTGTACTGTACTGTACTGTACTGTACTGTACTGTACTGTACTGTACTGTACTGTACTGTACTGTACTGTACTGTACTGTACTGTACTGTACTGTACTGTACTGTACTGTACTGTACTGTACTGTACTGTACTGTACTGTACTGTACTGTACTGTACTGTACTGTACTGTACTGTACTGTACTGTACTGTACTGTACTGTACTGTACTGTACTGTACTGTACTGTACTGTACTGTACTGTACAATCATCCCTTCAAAGAATCGTTCAAATAACCTGGATGGAAGCACGCAGAAGAAACGTCACCAGGATCAATTGGCAGTCATGTCTTCTGGCGTCTTAGGACGAGTGTGAAGAGGATAACGAAAACTCCAACTAGAGCTTGTCTTTCCAAATGAGTCACCTGACATGAAAAGAAAAGCCCCGCTTTCTAACCATCCCGCTGCTATTCTGGCGACGCTAAACGATTCGGATAACGATTATTAAGCATTGACTACCAGAGATGCCTAAAGTCCCCTGTGCTTGAAAGCCAAGTCCCGATATCAGTGAACAAATTTCTCAGCTCTACAGGTCCACACAGACAGCCACTGGGACCGATCGGCATGCCCGTTTGAGGTCAAATTCGACTCAAATCAGTGGGGATTTCAATCATTGCTGCTACCACATGAATTAACACAGCTCCCCAAACATAGAACGTGCTACATAACCTCTAGTTACCCGCCTGAACTGGAAGAGGTGAGCTCAGAAGTGTGATGAAGCATGAGTTCACGTCTGGTCAGTGATAAGAGATGGGATGGTCACGTTCCGCCTTTCTGAAACCACTTCCTAGGTCCAGAAACATGGAAGGCACATTTAAAACAAAACAGGTATGAACAGGCATGTACTACTTACCTGGATCACGCTGAAGAAAGCCTGTCCTTGTTCAATATAGAGTCGGGTGGATTCAGTGTAGTTCACACAGTAGTCTACATACAAATCAGCCAGCCGCTCACTGTAGACCACAAAACAGTGGCCTACATCTTCAGGGAGAAAATCACCACTTTCAGTGTACTTGCCCAACTCCGGTTCGAATGTCTGTTTGTGAAACTCGAAAAGCGCAGGCATATTTCCAAACAGCACGTTAACCATGTCCGACAGGCCTGGAGGAACCTACCATGTGGCACATCGGTGGGGAATGAGAGATTAGAACAAAGAATGTCCAGTGATGAATACGGAAAAAAGTACGACGTAAACTGAAGCTCAAGATGCCCTGTGGTTAGTGGGCGAATTCACTGACCGGAAGGTTAGAGGATCGAACCCAACTCCTAGATCTCGACCTGTCTAGGTTTGGGTAGCCTGGAAGTATCTCAGTCTTCGTGCCTCCATGTGGCCTGGCAGCTGAGGGTTCTAGAGCTAGGTATTTATTATTATTATTATGTAAACTGAAGGGACTGGTCCGCGGTGGCTGATCCCCGACTAGGCTCGTACGGTGGGTTTCACCAATCGCAGTTATATATAT